CTGAGCACTTTCTTCTTGCCCACAGCCTGGAGACTGAACACAGTTAGGCAAGCACATGTAACTGGAGACCACACATGGACCTCTGGGGACACTCTGCGCCACTTACTCTTTATCCCAGTCTGTGCAAGCATGTAATACTTCCAGCCCACACCAGGAGAAGAAAACAAGGCAAAGAGATTTGAGGTGGTATTTCTAAGTTCAAGTGGCTAATATCCAGTGTAGGCAGAATTCCAACCTATGTCTTTCATTCCACTAAACACTTAATCCCTGTGCTTCTTGCCTCCAAGGAAATAGACCTCATTTACCCACTCAGTTCTACTTTTCACTTTTTTGTTTGTTTGTTTGTTTTTGAGACAGGGTTTCCCTGTGGCTTTGGAGCTGTCCTGGAACTAGCTCTTGTAGATCAGGCTGGTCTGGACCGCACAGAGATCCCCCTGCCTCTGCCTCCCAAGTGCTGGGATTAAAGGCATGCACCACCACCGCCAGGCTTACTTTTCTCTTCTTATATGCATTCTGCACTATGTCAAGGACAGCCATATCAACATAGTACACTAATTATCCTTCCAGTTGATGAGTCCCTGTAGATCCTTGTCACCCCCAAAACACACAAAAAATGTAACAAATGCTCATTGCACATCTTTTTTGTAAAAATTAAATTTTTTGTGTGTTTGTGTGTGTGTGCATATGCATGTGTGTGCATGTTTGCATGTATGTATGTGGGTATGTGTATATGTGTAAGTCCATGTGTATGCGTGTGTGTGTGTGTGTGTGTGTGTGTGTGTGTGTGTGTATGGTGTGTTCAGTTGCCTACAGAAACCAGAATTGTCTGCTTCCTCTGAAGCTAGAGCTACAGGCGACTGTGAGCTGTCCAGTGTGGGCGCTGAAAACTGAATTCAGGTCCTCTCAAGGAGCAGCACATGTTCCTAACCACTAAGACATTTTTCCATCTCCACTATTTATTTATTCTTATTTTCTGTGCAATGTATGTGTGTCTGCATGTCTGCATCTATGCCATGTGCACTCAGGAGCCTGTGGGGCCCAAAAGAGGGTCTCAGATTCCCTGGAGCTGGGGTTACAGGAGGTTGTGAGCTGCCCTGTGCACTGTGGCATTCTGAGAACTGAATCCAGATTCTCTGGAAGAGCAGCAAGTGTTCGTGTTCATCACCACTGAGCCATCTCTCAAGCCCATCATTATACATCGTCTGATAATCAGTGACAGGTTGTCTATTTGTATAAATTTATAAAAAGTAGTATAATAATTTATATGGGATAGGCTAAAAGCATACACTCAATGTATTTTTCTTTAGCTCTAGAGTCTATATGCTTATTATTTAGCATAACAAATTATAACTAGACATAACCTGAGTGAGTAACTCAGTATGTTTGTAATGATAGATGTTTTCTCTTCCTTTCTAATTGTCACTGAGAATCATAAAAGCTGGGTTCCACTTTTGACATCTGAGAATATCATTCATACTTCATAAGCTGTTTGGTATTGTGGGTTGGTGTTATGCGTATGAATGCTTATGCAAGAAAATAAAACATGTTGGGTAAAGCCAGGTTTGGTTTGGCCCATCAGAGTCTCTCATAAGTCTTAATGCCTTTGCTGTGCATGATGCCACCGCTGAAACAGGCACAGAGGGAATGGAAAATCACTTCTACTTCCTGATCGGTTCAGATTCAAAACACTCATTTCATATCAAACACACATCTACTCATAACAAATGAACAACACATACACTGGGTCTTCCAGGTCACCTGCAGCCAGACAGCTGGGTCAATCATTCCACTCCTAATCAGAGGGACATGCTTTCCTCCTCTCAGAACCACACAGAACACAGGGACAGAAGATGCAGAAGGTGCTGGAACCGAGGACTTAGATGTTAGCAACACAGTCTCACTGAGTCTCCAAGCGGTCCACATAAAGGACTCAAAGCTGACAAGAGCAGCCCCTCCCTGGCCTCAAACAAAGCTGTGCTCATGTGCACATTCTCATAGACAGACAGACAGACAGACACAAGGACATAACCCTAATTAAAAATAAAACAACTCTTAAAAAAACTAAACAAGAAGTATATTGTATATTTCTTTCTTCCTCTCAGTCCAGACCTCTTTGGATATGCTACAGTCATTCATCATTTCAAATGAATTATTTTGTTTCGAAGGTCCATTTTGCTATTGTTGTTGTTACAAATATCCTTTCATAAGGCGAACTATACGAGCATATATTTTAACTACAGGGTTCTTGGTATTACAGGAGACACACGCAGGGAGAGCTTGGATGCTGTGTTGCCTTTAATGCCAAATTCAAATGTTCTGTGCATATGCAGCAACATTCTAAGGGCTAGCTAGTGTTTTTAAAACGTCCTTAAAGAGCTCTGTGGAGCTCTACTATAAGAGGTAAGACTGTCCTTAAAGAGCTCTGTGGAGCTCTACTACAAGAGGGAAGACTGTCCTTAAAGAGCTCTGTGGAGCTCTACTACAAGAGGGAAGACTGTCCTTAAAGAGCTCCGTGGAGCTCTACTACAAGAGGGAAGAATGCCCGTATTTCAGCAGCACACTGCTCCTCATAGTTAGGGCTGTGGATGCCATGCTCACATTATGACACTAAAACCTTAAGAAGCCGTTTGGCTTAAGTGCATTTGCTGCCCTTTCTTGCAATCCTCTGTTGCCTGGGAGAATTGTGTCTTACTCCTTCTCAACATCTGGAAGAAGAGAATCTCTTTAATCAGTTTTCAAGTTTGATTACTCAAAATCTAAATTTGGAAGATATTTTTTTTCATGGCTGTGGGTTGTAGCTCAATGGTAGAGATCTTGTCTGACATGGTCACATTGCTGGGTTTGGTCTCTGGGACAGCAATAATCAACGATAACATGTTCATGATCTAACTCAGTTATAGCCTGAAAGTTAAGATCATAGATTATAAAGCCAGACCACTTTATTTTTAAATTTTGGCTCCCAAAATGATTAGCTGGAGCATTTTACTTAACATCCCTATGCCTAGGTAGCCTTTGAAAATGACGGTGATTTCACCCTCAGTTCATGGATATATTAGCTTCCAAACATCATAAAATTCACCACAAAGTCACTCACTGTAAAGCCAGGTAGAGAGGTGGCTCAGCAGTTAAGAGCACTGGGCACTTCCAGAGGACCGGGCGCACATGGCAGCTCAGTTCCATATGTGACTCCAGGGGACCCGGCAGCCTCTTCTGGCTTGTGGGGTGCTGAGTACACTTCGCACTTACATATAGATATGCATACACATGAAATAAAGATAAACACATGTTTTTAAAGAGATAATTGTTCTCTTGTGGTTCTGAAGAACCACATAAAGTAAAGATAAAGAAAAAGTGTTTTCAAAAGATAATTATTCTCTTGTGGTTCTGAAGCACAGGTAAGTAATTAAAAAAAAAAGATCCTGAAACTCAGGAAAACATAATATACTCTTTTTATGTAAAAGGAAGCACAGAACAAAATTACAGGGATGACAGATGTTGGGTGGGATGCAGGTCCTCTGATCTGGTCTTCTTGAGGGAGAAATTCAGTCAAGAGATTGTGCAGAAGTTCATTCAGCAAAGCTAAACCAAGCAAACACTGAAGAGAGATTGCAGTGGGCTTTCCCAAGGCAAGAACAGTGTGGTGAGTTCTTCCTTGTAGACCTTAGAGAAGTATTTATGAATATTTGGTAGGATGGGATGAAGGGTTTATTTGACTTACACTTCCACATTGTAGTCCATCATTGAAGGAAGTCAGGACAGGAACTCAAACAGGGCAGGAACCTGGAGAGAGAAGCTGGCTGAGGAGATGAAAAAGTTTCCTGATGGGGAATGTACTGTGTATGTTTATCTTATTGACTGTTAAATAAAATACTGTTTGGCCAATGAAATGGCAAGTTAGACGGGACTAGGTGTCAAAGAGGATTCTGGGAAATGTAGTAGAGACGTGATGATCCAGGCAGGAAGTGACATAGCAAGGAGACTCATATTTAAGCGAAGGACAACAGGAAGGGCCCTTTTTCCCCTTCCTCCTCCAGCGGCAGGATGTGATCCACTGGCAAGGAGGCACGCCAATAAGGCATCCGATAAGATAAATCTTATAAAATATATATATTAATTATAAGCCTGAGCTAACAGATGAGAATCCTAGTCATTGGCCAAGCAGCATTGTACCTAATACAAGTTTCTGTGTATTCATTTGGGCCTAACTCGGGCGGGTGGCTGGTGTAAAGCTCACACATGGTGGTGGGGCTCAGGCAGCTTTTGGCAGAAAGATTTATCGTAACAGTTTCCCAAGGTTATTAAAAAAAAAAATCACAGCCTTTGGTGCATTTAGGTCAGTCCTCTTATTAGTGTTATCTGTTGTCTCTAATACTAACTTATCACAAGGACATACTGGTTAATGTGTATATGGATGTAGGGTAAAACAGCAGTGTAGACAAATGAGCTTATTGCAGTCTGAGAGTTTTCTCTGTCCTGCTGGTCCTCCCCTGGATGACTTTCTTTCCTGCTTGCAGGTCCCTGCAACCACTTATGAAATAATCAATCAGAGGCTAATATTAAATATAATTGTTTGGTCAATGGCTCAGGCTTATTACTGGCTAGCTCTTTCTTATAACTTAACCAATTTTTAATAATTTTCACATCACCGTGTGGCCGTGGCTTACCAGTAATGTGCTGGCATCTTACCCCTTCAGCGGCTACATGGCGTCTCCCTTACTGTACCTTCTTTCTCTCTGTATCTCTGGATTTACTGCTCACCTATATTCTGTCTGGCCATTGGTCAAAACAGCTTTATTTAATCAATAAAAGCAACACATATTTAGAGCACAAAGAAGGACATCAATTTATGACAGTCATGTCTAATACCATCCTCTGTGTACCTGTTGTTCTACTGACATACTTACCAGAAAGGGCAGTTCATAGCCATTTTGAGAATCTTCCAGGACTGGGTAAGTTGTAAAAGGTATTGTCTCTATTTAATGCTCTTTCTTTTTTAACAGCCTAAAGAAAAACGAAAGTGAGTCATTTTTCTCACATATGAAAGTAAACTATTGAGGTGTTGTCATCTACTTCCAACAATAACCAATGGTTCAGTGTTGCAATCTGGTGAGTGGACACTACCATTCACTCTGAAGAACTGTCAGCATATCAGATGATGTTGTCCAGCGATCACTAACTGTCTAGAGAGAGAAGGTGAGTCGAGGAAAGGAGGGAAGGGATGGGGAAGAGGGGGGTGGAGGCAGGTTATTAGGTTGTCTTCTTTGGAAAAATATCTTTTTAATTCTTCAACCTCCTGCATCCCTTGTACAAATAAAGCTTGTCCAAAGATCAGAGGATGGAGCTTGCCACTAGCTAACCATAGAGGTCTGAGGTCTGTACAGATAGCCAGGAAGAGAGATGGCTGGGCAGAGACAGGAAGTGAGATGGCTGGGCAGAGAGAGGATACAAACAGCAAGAAACAGGGACTCTCTCCGCTGGGAAGCTGAAGAGGTAAAGGTGGCTTTGGCTGGCTCCTCCTTCTCTCTGATCTCTCAGCATTTTCCTCTATATTTGACTCCAGGATTTTCTTTTTTATTATTTAAATTAGAAACAAGATTGTTTTACATGTCAATCCCAGTTCCCTCTCCCTCTCATCCTCCCCTACCTCCTGTCCCATCCCCTTTCTGCTCCACAGGGTAGGGGGAGGCCTTCCGTGGGGGAATCTTCAAAGTCTGTCATATAATTTGGAGCAGGGCCTAGACCCTCACCCATGTGTCTAGGCTGAGAGAATAGTCCTCTATGTGGAATGGGCTCCCAAAATCCATTAGTGTACTAGGGATAAATACTGATCCACCATTAGAGGCCCAATAGATTAACCAGACCTTCAAAATGACATCCACGTTCAGGATCCTGTTTCAGTCTTATGCTGGTTTCCCAGCTGTCAGACTGGGGCCCATGAGCGCCCCCTTGTTCAGGTCAGCTGTTTCTGTGGGTTTCACCAGCCTGGTCTTAACCCCTTTGGTCATCACTCCACCCTTTCTGCAATTGGATTCTAGAGTTCAGCTTAGTGTTTAGCTCTGGGTGTCTGCTTCTGCTTCCATCGGCTGCTGGATAAAGGTTCTACGATGGCATTTAAGGTAGTATCAGAGAAGGGCATTTGAGGTAATCTCTTGACTATTGCTTAGATTGTTAGTTGGGGTCAAACTTGTAGATCTCTGGATATTTCCCTCGTGCCAGAATTCTCTTTAAACCTATGATGGCTCCCTCTATTATGGTATCTCTTTTCTTGCTCTCCTCTATTCTTCCCCTGACTCGATCTTCCAGCTCTCTCATGCCCTCCTCTCCCCTCCTCTTCTCTCCTCCTCTTTCTCCTAGCTCCCTCTCCCCTGCCCTCATGCTCCCAATTTGCTCAGGAGATCTTGTCCCTTTCCCCTTCTCCGGTAGACCAAGTATGTCTCTCTTAGGTCCTCCTAGTTTCCTAGCTTCTCTGGAGTTGTGGATTGAAGGCTGTTAATCCTTTGCTCTATGTCTAAAATCCATACATGATTTTATATACCATGTTTGTCTTTTTGTGACTGGGTTACCTCACTCAGGATGGTTTCTTCTAGTTCCATCCATTTGCCTGAGAATTTCAAGATTCCATTGCTTTTTTTTTCCACTGAGTAGTACTCCATTGTGTAAATGTACTTCGTTGTTGGGCCCCAGCCCCAAAGGCGTCTCTGTGAGTTGCCTGTCAGCCAACAACCACAGGAGCATCCTGTTTTCTAGTTCTGGCTTATAGCCCCAGCCTTGCTCCACTGGCATCAACATCTAGTTGTGAAAACACGAACTCTTAGACCTGGGTTTTTTTACTGTGCTGTAAGTGTACACAAGGCTGCTCCCCCTGCAATAAACTCTCCCACACATTCTCTTAGCACAAGGCTTTCGCCTAATACATTAGACTTGTTCATGGCGCAGGTGCCACACCACATTTTCTCCATCAATTCTTCGGTTGAGGGGCATCTGGGCTGCTTCCAGTTTCTGGCTATTACAAATAATGCTGCTATGAACATGGTTGAACAGATGTCCTTGTTGTATGAATGAGCTTCTTTTGGGGTACATGCCTAGGAGTGGAATTGCTGGATCTTGAGGTAGACTGATTCCCATTTTCCTGAGGAAACACCATACTGATTTCCAAAGTAACTATGCGAGTTGGCACTCCCACCAGCAGTGGAGGAGTGTTCCCCTTTCTCCACATCCTCTCCAGCATAAACTGTCATTGGTGTTTTTGATTTTAGCCATTCTGACAGGAATAAGATGGTATCTCAGAGTTGTTTTGATTTGCATTTTCCTGATGGCTAAGGATGTTGGGCACTTTCTTATGTGTCTTTCAGCCATTTTAGATTACTCTAATGAGAATTCTCTATTTAGTTCTGTACCCACATTTTAATTGGATTTTTTGGTGTTTTGGTGACTAGCTTCCTGAGTTATTTGTATATTTTGGAAATCAACCCTCTGTCAGATTTCCAAAGATCTTTTCCCATTCTGTGGGCTGCTGTTGTGTCTTGTTGACTGTGTCCTTTGCCTTACAGAAGCTTCTCAGTTTTAGGAGGTCCCATTGATTAAGTTTGATCTCAGGGTCTGTGCTATTGGCGTTATATTCAGGAAGCAGTCTCCTGTACCAATTTGTTCAAGGGTACTTCCCACTTTCTCTTCTAGAAGGTTCAGTGTGGCTGGATTTATGTTGAGGTCTTTGATCCATTTGGACTTAAGTTTTGTACATGGTGATAGAAATGGATCTATCTGTAGTCTTCTACACACCAGCATCCAGTTATGCCAGCACCATCTGTTGAAGATGCTTTCTTTTTTCCTTTGTATAATTTTAGCTTCTTTGTCAAAAATCAGGTGTTCATAGGTGTGTGGGTCCATATCAGGGTTTTCAATTTGATTCCATTGCTGACTCCAGGATTTTTATTGTTTATGCCAAATAAGAACTCCATTTACAACCCCCCAATTTTCTGTGTGTGTGTGCTTATGTGTGTGTGTCAGTGTGCATGTCTGTTATGCATTTGTGTGCAGGTATACATGTGTGCCCATGTATGAAGTGGCCAGAGGACAACCTTAAGTGTCAGTCCTTAGCAACCATCTATCTTGGTTTTTTGGGGGGGGGCGGGGGAGCAGGCAGCATTTGTCCTTGTCCTGGGGCTTGCCAATTCAGCTAGGCCAGCTAGCCATCCAGCCTTAGGGACCCATAAGTTTCTACATTCCCAGTGGGAGAGTTCAAGTGCTGGTCATGGGTTCTGGGGATCAGGCTCATGCTTGCTTTTCATGTGCTTGGTCAGCTGAGCTTTTTCCTGGGTCTCTCTCCTCCTGTACTGTTTGATCCCTTTGATATTCTGTGTAGAAATCACCTGTCAGTTGAATGGATGTCACCTTTTCTCCCCTTCTCCAGGTTCTGTCTGCCCTCTGTTAATGGTTTCCTTTTCTGTGTGGGAGCTTGTCAGTTGGATGTAATCATGTTTGTCATTTTTTTTTTTTGCTTTTCTTTCCTGTGCTAGTGTCCAGGAAGTCCCTGCCACTCAGAGACATACCAGGGACTTTTCCCGTCTGTAAATGCCACCTCAGGCCACTTCTCAACTTTGCCTCATGTCTAAGCGGATCTTCTCTCCATCTTTGTGTTTGGAGAGTTTGACCTAGTCTTGGGCTGGGAAGACTTTTAGCATGCAACTACTTGTATCCACTTACAGATTTGGACGGTTTATTATTATTACTGTTTTCTTGGGTAAGCTGTCTCCCTATATGGTAGTTTTGTGTAGCTTTTGATTTCCAGTAACCCAGTGAGTTCTGTTTTATTGCTGCTCCAAAGTTCCCATAGACTTTTTCATTGTTTTCTTTCATGACTCTCTGTAGCACGATAAATAAATGACCCAGAGACTGATATTCAAGCTTCAAGCTGAAGATAAGAAAAGCAAAGCAGCCAGCCACTAGCTCTTACTCTATCTCAGACTGAAAGGCTATCCTGGCTCCCCAAAACCTCAGACTGAAATCCCAGACTGCTATGCTCTCATCAACATGGCTGGAGAATCCTGAGCCCGAATGCCAGCTCTGAGACCTTGCTCCTGCCTAATATACCCCCCTAATGCTGGGATTAAAGGCATGCGATCCCAGGTGCTGGAATCAAATGCATGAGCTCTGTTACTCTTCACTCTTGTGTAGGCCATGGTGGCCTTGAACTAATAGAGATCCATCTACCTCTTAATCCTGAATCCTGGGATTTAAAGTGTGTATCACCACTGCCTGATCTCTATAGCCTGAGGCTGACTTTGCTTTCTGAATTCTCAGGCAAGCTTTAATAAGTCATAATAATATATCACCACACCCCTCTTTGTTTTCAAATTTCCTGTCTTTGGGCTTACTAATTCTCTCTCCTATTTGGTCTATTCCATTACCCACACTTTCTGCCATGTTTCTAACTTTGTATTTTTCAGCTAAAGATTTTTGTTTGAAAAAACAGTTCAATTTCTGTTAAGTTCTCCTGTTAGAGAATTATTCCTCCTTGCTATCTTGCTGCTGATTGGATTGTCCTAAGATAGCTGTTTTATGGTGTAAGAAGGGACTTTGAGAGCCCATCCCATGTGAAGGGTTACACTCTGGCCCTGGACACATGGGGAAGGGCCCAGGCCCAGCCCAAGAAGATTTGGTGGACATTGCAGAGACCCCATTGAGGTCCCTACCCTGCCTGGGGAGTGGAGGATGGATGGATCGGGTGGGGGTAGGTTGGGGGTGGGGTAGGAGGGATGGGGGTGAGGGGAGGGAGAGGGAGAGGGAGAAGGGATTTACACGTGAAACAAGCTTGTTCCCAACTTGAACTAATAAAAAAAAAATTAAAAGAAAAAAAGATAGCTGTTTTAAATCTGTCATCCAAGTTGCTATTTTGGTTTCTCTTACTTTATTTTGACTATTGGATGAGTTATCTGAAGTTTCAAGACATTTGCTGCTGTGTGGTAACGTATATGCATAGAAGGCTAGGTGTTTATTCCAGTGTTTGTAAATTGGCTCTGCTGTGCTTTCTTTCCAGAAGTTCAGGTATTCAGCAATAAGATGGCTTATTCTCTGAATCTGTCCCCACTTCCACTCTTCCTGCTTGTTTATACATGACCCCTTAGCTTCAGTCCGGCTCTCTAGAGGCACATAACTGGTATGGATACATATTAAAGGGGGACTTTTTAGACTCT